CCCCTAGAAATATGAATCGCTCTGCTCCCATCCCCATCGCCAAGGAGTACAATCTGTTTACCAACACATTCCTCCAAGGAGGAACCAGTGGAAGGCTGTACCAGCTCAACGAAAACAAAATACGATGCCACGACGGTGCCAGGCGATTCCGAGACGATCATTGCAGTCGAGGGAACGAGAGCCGAGAGAAGCGAGAGAATGTCGCTGCTGGAATTCCCTCTATTTCTATCGGCGATTTCGGTCCTCGCCCTCACGGATCTCGGAGATTCCTCGCCGCAAGAGAGCAAGATCGAGTTCGCGGCCGTCCGAAACTGGGACCCCCCACCTAGAGATGCGGAAACTCTCATCGTCAATACCTCTCAGGTATCGCCATCGCTCTCGTCGTGTAGCGACAAAAACATCTTTTATTTGTTTATGTAAACTGCGATGACTTTCAGAGTGGTTAAATGGAAGAACCTAGAGCTTTAGAAAATTCCGATTTGAATTTTATTTTTCAGTCCAGCTGGTATTCATCTTGCTAGAAGAGAACAACGCCAACCATTATCATTTTCGAATGATGTTCCAGCTTTAATTCTGGGCTTTGGGCATTTATTTGCTTATAAAGACATTTTTGATTCGAAGAAAAAGTTCGAAATTACGATTCTGGTAGGCCTACAAGTTAGATTATATGGGAAATATTTTATTGGCAAACGTATGGCGTGAGCTTGACGACTTATATTTTAAACGCTGAATTCTGTTTCTTGTACTCATCTCATTCTTTAACTACTGTCATACTTCATTTATGGAGCGATCCGGATGTCTTCATTCGCACGCTGCACCGACAAGAAGAGACCGCTGCCGACGCCTGCCGGAACATTAAACGGGAAACTACATCGTACGCATAGAACCTTAGAATTAGAATTTTGTTAATCCTGTTACATACAAGCGGGCACCAACCACCCCCCCCCCCTCCCCCTCCCCATTCCCGAAAGAGGAACGAACGACTCGAGGACCCGCACAGGTGCAGTTCGGATGCTACATAAAGAGCCAGAGCGGATACCGAAGCTTCAGGTCCGTGTTCCTCAACGTCACCCTGGCGGAGAACGTGAACCAATGCCTCCTCCTCTGCTCCCTCGTCCAGCGCTACTGCGCCGGCTTCAACTACCGACGCTCCGCCTCCGCCTGCCACCTCCTCGGGGAATCCCCGCTCGAGGAAGACCTCGGCGAGGACGAGGACTTCACCGCCTATTGGGTTTACGAAGGTCTCCGTTTGCTTTTTCTTTTCGATGTGCGTTTTCATTCGGTTTCTTTGTTGTTTGAGGCGTGTCGTTGCATATCGGATTCCGATGATCAGATTTCAAGAGTATCACTGGTCCTTTATTTTCGGTTCGGTTATTAGCGAATCGTGATTCAATTCTATTTTACTTATTTACATCCGATGCTACGCTGATTTTCATCTTCTTCGCATTCATGTTTTATATTCATCGGCTTATTGTTTCTCTATTATCAATCGTGATCGCATTCGTTCTCTTGATCGCAGAGGATAAAGAAGCGCGGAGGAAGCTGAGCAAGCTGAGTAAGTTCCACCATTCATTAATCGACGCAGCCCTGACGATCCGTTCGGAATCCAACCTCGAACACCGTCGACAGCGTCGGCGGAGTGCCGCCGAACGGCGCTGGGCAAGGAATACGAGGGGATCCGCGCCGAGACGGCGACCCGGAGGCCCTGCGTCCCCTGGAGCCGGGTCCCCTCCCACGACTTCCGGTCCACGGACTTCCCCGACGCCAACGTCGAAGAGGCGAAGAGCTCGTGTCGGAACCCGGACAACCGGCCGCAGGGCCCCTGGTGCTTCGTCGACTTCGGCGGGGACTGGGAATACTGCAGCATTCCTTACTGTCTGAGTGAGTCGCCCGTGATCGATAGCCGATCGATTGTCGATTCCACGAAGGAACGAAATGCGAGAGAAAAAGTGAAAATGCTTTTATGTAAATTTTAACTTAATTTGAATTTAAATGATAAATGAATTACATTAAATTAACGGATAAATCATTTTATAAGCGAAACAAGAACATTGACAGACAAATTTTAAGCAAAAAAGAAATCGATACAATTGTTCACTTCAGCGCGGTCTTTTGCTCCGGTTAGACATCGAATGCCGGATGGACACGGCAGGGATCGATTATCGAGGAACGATGTCGATCACGATCTCGGGTCGCCACTGTCAACGCTGGTCCGCTCGCTTCCCTCATTCCGTCCCCAATCGGATCCAGGATCGGGATTTCCCCGACGGATCCAAGGTCGAGGCGGTCAACTTCTGCCGGTAACCTTCTAAAAAAAAAAAGGATGGAGAGGGCTGGGTTTGGGGAATCGTCTCTTGACTGATTCTAATGCGAGGATTTGGGATTTTAGGAACCCGGATGAAAGCCCCCGAGGTCCATGGTGTTACACCGAGGATCCCTACAAAGTTCGAGAGGAATGCCCCGTCCCCATGTGCCCCGAAGGTTATTTTTAGTCATTTTGTCAAAATTTTCAAGGAATTGCGATTTAACGACTGGGATTGCCCTAGTGATGAAGAATTCGGATCACCCGATGTTCGAGCCCGTCTCCGCGGAGCCCGACTACACGAGTTGCAAGAAAGACAGCCGAGGAACCACGTATTTGGGGAAACTCAATCACACTGCATCGGGGAGACCCTGCCAAAAGTAACTCGCCGCTAAATAATTCTCAACAAAATAAATCGCAACAGTCGCGGGATTCGAGCGACGTCAGCGCGAAACGAACAGTCTGATTCCCCATTAAACTGGAATGAGAATCGACGAAGCGAGCGAGGAAAGCGCGATGCGCTCGGCTCCATCCGGAGTACGTGCGAAAATGAACCAATCAGACGGCTCGTCGGCGCTGACGTCACTCCGATCCCGCGCGGGAAACGCGGAAGAACGAAAGGCCTCGTCGACGCAGCTGGACGGCGGACGTCCCTCACTTCCGGAACATGGAGATCATGGAGGACGACAACTTCCCGGACGGATCGACGGAGAAGGCGAGGAACTTCTGCCGGAACCCGGACGGATACGACCTGGGGCCCTGGTGCTACACGGGGGACCCGTTGACGCGGTGGGAGGTCTGCGCCGTCCCGTGGTGCAAAGGTAGGACCCGGCTGGGACTCGGGCTCGTTCCGTGCTGGGGGCGGCTGACTCTGGGGGAATGCCCCGGCTTCGAATCGTGGGTCTATCGTGGTTTTGCGTCATTATAGTTTCGTATTTGTGTTTTATGTTAATTTGTAAATTTAGTTTGTGTGACACAAATTACATTTCACGATCGGTTATCACTTATAAGTGAATAATGAAAAAAAAAAAACAGAAACAATCCTATCGTAGGATTCAAGCAAGACGATCACTATCGCCCGGTGGCGAAGATCACGTGCGGGGAGAACACGACGTCAGACAGCGGGTACATCATGCCCCCCGAGGAGACGTACCTGAACAACATGCACTGCGTCTGGTGCCTGCGACTGCCCAACGCCACCGAGTTTCGTCAGCACGGCGTCGCGCTTCAATTCTACAAGTTCCACCTCGAGGACAGCAAGGACTGCCAATACGACTACCTCGAGGCACGTGAATCCTCGACGATTTCGATCGCGTCTAGGTTTCCTCGACGATTCGTCGGAGGGAGTCGATTATAGCGTCTCAAAATCTCGGTGCAAAAAAAAAAATTCTATGCGTGTCGACTGGATATATTCCTTAGGTCTACGACGGATGCGACAGCGAAGCGGCGAAACTGGGGCGGTACTGCGGGAAGAACGGACCCAAGGCGCTGTTCAGCACGGGGCCGGAAATCATGATCGTCTTCAGTTCCGATCCGATCGGAGTGGCTGAGGGATTCGGGGCCATGTACCTCGCATGTAATTTCCTGCTCTTTCCTTTATTTCGGTCGTTACGGTCTTATTTTGTATCTGCTTTCTAAACCACTCAAAGGCGAGAGGATCGCATGTGGTTTCCTTTATCCTTTAGAATTTCCATGTTTTTCATTTACGATCGGACACATGCAGCGTCGATAATATTCGATTCGATGGAATGCAACGATTTTATTCGCCCATTCAAAATCCTCCTGAGACTCATCATAGAACCAGATTCAGGGTTTCCTTTTCCAGGATGAGTTCGCTCCAGATACTGAGCGTACATTTATTCTGCGATTGAAGTCCATTTTACCCCAAAAATAGCGATGAGATTACTTTTTGAACAGAGTTTGCTCTGACGCACAAACCGAAGGCTTCATTCTCATTCTCCTCTATCCCTCTCAAAAAAAAAGCAAAAAAGCAAGAAGGAATTGAGATGTGCCGATGCGGCTTGCAGATAACCGGGAAGACAAGCTGCCTTACGTCGAGAAGGAGCGCGGACCGCTCATCGGCTGGGGTGGCTACAACCTGGCGTACCTGGCTGAGGCGGGCGACGGGAACGACACCGTCACGGCGGAGGACAAGGAAGCGGATTCCATCGCGAAGCTTCGGGTCGTGGAGAAGGGAGAGCAGGCGAGGAAGGTCAAGGGGCAGAGGGGGAGGACGGGGGAGGGCGGTCAGAGCGAGGGCGGGCCGGGGGAGGCTTTCTACGACTACTGGCCTGGTGATGCTTCGAAAGGGAAGCAGCGGCCCTTCGCGGCTTAGATTCGATTCCTCGGTTGGATGTGCTGTGGGGACTTTTGGGTCTTTTCGTTGTTACGTGATTTGCTGATTCTACTGGGGGAAATGGCATTCGTTGACTTCCTGGTCAAAACTTTTTATTTGAATGCACCTTTCATCATTTTTTCACGAGAACTTGTTGAGAACTCACGACTATCAACCCCCGGATGCCTCTATGCTCTATGCTCGCTGCAACCCCACTCGAGACGTGGGATGCAGAAGGGTAGGCAACGAGTTCCCCTGCGACTCTCTTCTTGTGATTCTAAAAAATGGGCCCTCCACGCCTTCCTTGCGTGTCATAATCACGCGTGACCGTGATTAATGGTGGAAAGGGAGAAAGGGGAAGAGGAGGAATTCGCAGGCTCCGCCTCTCCCCTTGGCCCGGCTAGAAGCACCGAAGGCGAGTTTCGTCAGCGACTCGTTCGTCGTGATGGATGTCCGACGAGCGACTTCACTCGAGTGAGGAACTACGGAAACGGTTTTCCGCACTTCTGCGTTCACTCAACGATCGACGGTCGGCTCAGCTACCAGCATCAGGATGCGATTTCTTCCTATGCTCAATGGACGCACAGGTGTGACGCGAACCGACCGGTATCTTTCGGGGAAAATAAATCTAGCCGAAGGTCGAGTGAAATGGTTTTCACCGAAAGATGGCGGGTCATCACGAAGAGCTAAGGGTTAGAAGAGCTGCAAAGGTAAGGGAAGGTAAGCAATGGTAAGGCATGGCACTACGTTCTGAAAGGAAGCAGAAACAAATGCAAAATTCCTTGCCTTTTCTTATCAATAATATCAATATTTATAACTTACATTCACCTTTTCTATAATAGGAATATAATATAAATGGTATACTGTATAATATAAATGGTACACGATCTCCAATTTCTAAGTTCTTAGGGCCCACTAAGTTTCACTCGTAACGATCCACTGCTTTGGGAAATCTGAAAGCACGAGGTTGGGAATCTTTGACAAATCAAACGAGAGAGGAAAAACTGGTCGATTGATCCGAATGCGCAATGTACTCTCCTCGTTCTGGGATATGCCAAATTTCTTGAACTGGCAGTACCGAAAAGGGCTTCCTATGAAGTACTGCTCTGATTTTGGATCGATGAGACACCAGTGGACTTGTAAATGCATAAAATTATGCATTTTTGAAGAGGGTTATATCACAGACCAATCGCGGAAAGTGCCAGAAAGTGCATACGTATGGAAAGTTCGATAGAATAGTTTTGCTTGAGGAATACATCGGGGACGGGGGGGGAGTAAACGCGATAAAATAGAAATATATTCGCCTTCGGGGCCGAACAGCCGCGATGGCCCTCGAGATATTCGCCTGATGGAATCGCGGCGTTCCGCTTCTCGATCCGACTCTTCCTGGATTTCGACACGACTCGTTTCTCGGATCTGGCACTGCGGTGCTTTCGCTTCGTTTCCTTCGTCAGATGAGATGGACGTTGCTCTTACATCGAGTCAAGAAATCCAGCGATCCAGACATCCAGCCATCCGGGCAAGGAGGGAACTCGACCGAGCTCACGAATAAGAGGAAGCTACCGATTTTGCAGCCGGATTTCCCGAAGTCGAGGAATTCGTCGCTCGGCTGGAGGCGGAAGAGACTGATTTCCTCAAAACTTCCAGAAGAGAAATGGTGTCGATCGACCGCGTTGATAAGAGAAATCGACGGATTCGTCACACTCTTCGGTTCCAGATTCGTTTCAGAGCCGCTTTGGATGCGATCGAAGCAAGCCGACGCGGCCGAATGTGTTCGCGTGCCTTCATTCGGGGATGTCGCCCTCCTCGTGGGGATGTCGCCCAGGATCAGTATTAAAAGTGTGTTTGGCCATTCCTCAATGAAAAAATGCCGTTTCGAGCACCGTGAATACTACGACATCGATCGGTCGGTCGGTGTGTGCGTGGGAGGTGGCTCGAGTAAACGTAGGCCAACCCTAGCCACGAATCAGAGAATGAGAAAAAAAAGACTCACTCTGATGGAATCGGCTGTCTCGTCCGTCCTCGTGTCGAAAGCGTGGAAGGAAGAGAGGAACTTCTGGAAAGGGTTCTCGATTCCAACGAGTCCAGGAAGAAGAAATTTAAAGTTTAGATCCTGGAAGAATGGCCCACGGGCGACGAGCCGCCCGCTCGACTTCACGATTCTCATCCGAAACGCGATAAAATAGATATATATTCGCCTTCGGGGCCGAACAGCCGCGATGGCCCTCGAGATATTCGCCTGATGGAATCGCGGCGTTCCGCTTCTCGATCCGACTCTTCCTGGATTTCGACACGACCCGTTTCTCGGATCTGGCACTGCGGTGCTTTCGCTTCGTTTCCTTCGTCAGATGAGATGAACGTTGCTCTTACATCGCGTCAAGAAATCCAGCCATCCAGACATCCAGCCATCCAGGCAAGGAGGGAACTCGACCGAGCTCACGAATAAGAAGAAGCTACCGATTTTGCAGCCGGATTTCCCGAAGTCGAGGAATTCGTCGCTCGGCTGGAGGCGGAAGAGACTGATTTCCTCAAAACTTCCAGAAGAGAAATGGTGTCGATCGACCGCGTTGATACGTCCCTGAGAAATCGACGGATTCGTCGCACTCTTCGGCTCCAGATTCGTTTCAGAGCCGCTTTGGATGCGATCGAAGCAAGCCGACGCGGCCGAATGTGTTCGCGTGCCTTCATTCGGGGATGTCGCCCTCCTCGTGGGGATGTCGCCCTCCTCGTGGGGATGTCGCCCTCCTCGTGGGGATGTCATCCGGTGGGATTCACCATCACGTCTTGCAAGCGATTCCCACAATCTGGGAGATTTTTCTCCGCCCTCGCGAGATGACACTCATGGTCTAAGACAACAGTCGGTACAAAGTGCATGGTGGCTCAGGAAAAAGTGAATGAGAAATGGTTTTTAAACGTTTTTATGCAATTGCTTGCTTTTTGGGAGCTTTGCCACCGTCTGATGTATCAATATCTATTTTTTTGCGTTTATGACAAGTCTAACGTTTCTCCAACAATTCGATTTTCCTGAATGTTTCAAAAAGATAAGTATGAAAAATTGCAAAACCGAAGACGAAAAACCAGGAGTAGGTTTTTCGCCGGCATGTTGACGGGGGTGCGAGTCGCCATTTAAAAAAAAACGCTTCTGTCAGTTCATATGTCTGAACGCGTCCATCCTACCTCACCGCAAATCCCGACCATCTTTCCTTTCTATCTTTTCATGCACACAAAAAAAAGTTTGTGTGCGTGAAAAGATAAGTTTTTTTTTCTGGGTAGTTGTGCGCTCTCGTCCTTTGGTTTGTGAAAGTTGCCTTTTTTTATATCTGCCTTCCGAGTTCTTTTTCAGGTAATTTTTGTACCGATAAATGATCAATATTTCATATCATATTGACAAATATTTGAGTGAGCAAGCCATTTCCTAAAAACTTGAACTTTTCACGCGTACACTTTCACTTGGGCCATCCGATGCAATGCAAGTCCACATCCGTGCGAAGGACTGCATACGAGAGGGCCGGGTTTGCAAACGCCCTTCAACAGTCGATTCGAGACCCGTCGGATGCGAGGGACGCGCAGCGATCACAGCGCCGCCGCCGAGGATCCCAGGCGATCGCCGGGGCAGAGCGCGCCCCAAAAGGGGGAAGCGATTGATCCTCGAGGCACCGCAGCGCGAAGGCGAGCGGGTGGGGGGGGGGAAGGCCTTCGTCCCGGCGAGTCCTCTTCCCGTCTCGCTCTGGGTAAGTGAAAGCTCGGTCCAATCGTAATCGGTTGAAACTTTGTTAAAGTTGAAACGTAATTATGACGCGTTCTCTGTCCCCACCGTTGTAAGCGTACGTACGGTGAAATTAAGTGAAAAGACGGAAAATGGAAGCAGAAAACCTACACGACGAGTATTTCTCTATCCCTATAAAGGGATACAGCCGAGACAGATTGAGGGACACACAAAATGTTATATATGTATAGAACCTTTTAAAAGAGCTTCTGCATGTTGAAATGCCCATGAAGGCCCATTCTGATCGATGCATCAGGTTCCTTCTCTGCTCCTTTATGCCCACATGAAGTACTTTCGTACATAAACTTTTGAGCTTCTCCATACATTTTAGCACGCAAGATTGATTAAATTCGTCGATGAATTACCCCGAGATCCCCCATACTTCTAACGTCTTTGCTTGTGGTCCAGGGACTGATGACTTCTTTCAACCATGCATCGAGGTTCTATGGAGTATAGCTCAGGGCGCCTCTTTGGTCTCAGTAATTTTTTCTACGTGCCAAGACACTAAATTCTGTTGGGTTTGCTTAACATTTTGACCCGTATCCACGTCGCACCCCTGGGCGCTAAGGGTCTCCTAAGAGCGGATCCAATTTAGGGATTCCTTCGAGATGCCGCGCTCACGTTCCTCTTCTTGGCTGGGGGATCCTCAAATCTAGCGGAATCCAATCTTTAGGTTTATGTTCTTGCATTTGATTACAGACGAAAGTTTCTTGGAACAATTTCACCCATTCGCGCAGACCGTCCTCTTTTAGTTTCTGTCCTTACATTCAACCTGCTGCCATGCCAAAAATTCTCGACGCTATGCAATCACGTTTCGCAGGGCTTGGCAAACGATGACTCAGAATATTAACCAGTATATCTTTCTACGGCAATAATCATGAATTTCCCTTTGTAAATAGGCCAATACCTTCACAGTGGTAAAATTACGGTGTGCTAAGGCAAAGCAAATAGAAAAAAAAAATTTGAAGACGAACTAAAGTCCAAGCTTGGAGTGGGTGTGGACTCCACGCCTTTCGCGCTGTTGTTGGGCACTTAAAAACATTTATAGCATTTTTTCCCACTAAAATTCCATCTTTCGGCTAGCCTTTTGTTTCGATTGGGGTGGTCGATGGTGGGTGGGCCAGAAAGAATTTCACCCCCCTTCACTTGGTTGCTGCATTTGTACCAATTATGGCGTGCTCATGCAATTTCGAGCATAAATAGTATTCCGGATCAAATGCAATTAAAAAAAAAATACGACCGATACTTTTTATTCAATAATCTTTTACTGCGCCAAGTAAAAATATCGGTTGCACGCGCATTACTTTCCTTCGTACGGATAAAACATCTTTCGAATTTGGGGAGTTAGAGCAGATGGCACATTCAGCATCCTCAATATTCATGGGGATGTTCAATCCTAACTTCATTTGTGGTTGTTGCCGTGTACTCTATTGTTTTAAATAATTATCCATTGAATTAAAAGAAATTGAGGATGTTTATGCATGTTTAGCATGTTATCGTAATAATGCGTGCGCAACTGCGACTTTTACCTCGCGCAGTAATATGAATTATCGTGAAACAACTATTTGTTGTGTTTCATGGAAAATAAAAGCAATGGATTAGGGAAGAGTGGTAATCCTCCAAAATACACGAGAGCGTCTTAATTATGAAGAGTGCAGTAATCAAGTGAAAAAGGGTGACATTTTTTTAAAACCCACCCTACAAATACTTCTAATTTTCATCCAAGTGGCGATTGCTCCCAAATACAAAATTATCGAGGTCCTGGAGTCTGACGGATGTCTTGCGATTAAGAGCGGGTACAAGTACCAGAGCAGGTACCATCTTTAGCAGTACCAGTTCTCTGAAAATCGAGAAATCTTTCTCATTCTCGCTCTCCCGAACGCATTCAAGCGCAGCATCTTCGCGAGTATTCTCATTCGAGAGGAAAATCAAATGAGACGGAAATATTTTCATATTGAGACTGAAAAACAACCGAGAGTCAGACCCAAACTTACCGCAGGATGCTCTGGCATTTGGAAGTGCATTGCAGCCGATCCAAGTCAGTTGAAAGTTGCTGGCACCTGTAAGTTGTCTGTTCGATGGCTCGTCTCGATTCTCGAAGAAAGCCCAATGGAAATCCGTGGACATGGACGTGGACCCTTTTTCAGTTCTGGATGAACGGAGGCATAAAATAGGGTTATCTGATGATCGAAGCATGCGATGTAGGCCTTGAATCCGGCGACCATGTACGCAGTGGAATGGTGCGTAGGTGATCACGGAAATCATTGACCCGCGAAAGGAGCTCTAGGTACTCGTGAAAATTTTAGCCGGGTATCCAGGCAATTTGACTAAATCATTGCACCCTTCTGAATAAGTAAACAACTGTATCCAATTGTATCCTTTCCAGCATGGTTAATAAGAAATGAAGTGGCAATGCTCGCCGCGATCGGTAGACCCGCACCGATTCAAGCACTTAACGAGCCGCAGTTTTCCGTTCAGTCGCAGTTTTTGTCCTCGTGGTACTACCTCACCTTGGGACCGCATTGCTGGTAATGTCATTTCGCTACCTGGTTTTTAACTTTCTTTGAAAAAGCAGCTCTGCGGATGCTACGGGAGAGGGCGTAATGAGCCACCTCACATCCCTAATTCTACGGTATTCTGATGTTTAATTAGGATGAGAGAATCGTCTTTCGTTTCCGTTGGGTGGTCTAACATTCAGCTGACAGCGCCTGAATTTATTCGGTGCTCTTTCCTGTAATAGTTTCCAATATAAGGCCTTCCTGGTTGTATCTCGTTCAGTCTCAGAATGCTGGAACATGGAGGCTCGAAATCATGGAAAAGATAGGGGTGAAAAAAGAGATAATTTTTGGAGAGATGCAAAGGTAGCGTAGGTGAGGACGTAACCTTTCAACTGAAGCATACTGACAGCCAAAAACTGTCCCAATTTGGCTCATTTATTTGCATACTTTTATTTAGAGTGAAAATTTGACACACAACTTAAAATACCAAATCCAGAAGATACCAGTTCACACCTAAAGATTGTCTTCAATATTCCAGAACCTCCACAACATCAAAGATCATGATAGTACCTCTTGATATTTATAGGGGTGTTCAGTATGAAGGAGAAAGCAGAGAAAGGGAAGACGGAGAAAGGCCATCTGGAATTACTTTCAACCATGGATTATGGCATCCCTGGATTTTCTCAGCTTTTTGGGTTCATACCTGCACATCCTACCAAGCGAATCCTGTGGGCCACTATTTTCCTTTTGTGCCTGTCCATCACCGTCTACGAGGTAAAACCACGTCTCAAAACGTTGCCACAACTTTTCGTTATTGATCCATTCATATTCCATTGAGGAAAATTTCCGGTTTACAGGTGACAACATTCTCCAGTGAGTATGCATCCTGGCCGGTGACAAAGAAATTCGATTGGGCTTATCATGGAACGGCTCCGTTTCCTTCCATCACGCTGTGCAATGAAAATAGCTTCAAACCAAAGGTGGTTTTCAACATCTATTATGTTCAACAACAGTTGCTCAGGTGAAGATACGAAATTTTGTTTGACAGGTGGTGAAAGAATATTTAAAGTCGGGAGTGGTGATGTCATCTTACCCGATCAAAGACTGGGACTTTAAACATTTTAAGGACGGTCCAGAAATCCTGAATGCAATCAACAGGAGCTTCTTTCACCTGGAAGACGCCCTTCAGGGATGCCTACTATCTGGGAAACCTTGCTCAGATGGTTTCTGATGCGCATATATATTTCTGCCTGTTTTTCAAATTTTTTCCCTTCGACAGAGGAATATTTTTATGCAGTGGGATGGTGGACAGAGAAAGTCACGGAATCCCAAGGTCTCTGCCATACCTTCCAACCAGACCCAAATAAGCCCATGCCGACGGGAGGAGGCAGGCTGAAGGGCTATATTTTGAATTTCACTGATACTGGTGACTGGTTTTGCGATTCCAAGGATCCCATCTGTGGTCATGGTAAGATATGATTAATTTAAATCATTAGCGAGATCATAGGTGAGGAGATTTGAGCTGAAATTGGAGATAAGATAAACTATGCACGTGTCGCCATCAGCTTTTCACGTGGATGAATTTACAAATTGAAAACTTATTTTGTATTTTTTATAGCTTTCGGGAAAAAAATAATTACTCGTATCTGATCCAACGGAATCTGACCAAAGGCATAACGTGTGATTGAAGTGCAGGACAGCGGGTGGCAGATCTTCCTGAACGAGGGGATGCACACGGACAGAGATGCCGTGTGGAACGACGAGGTGATCCAACTGGCATCAGGAGAAACGAGGCGGTATCGAGTCTCAACGACTGAAGAGACACTCCTCAACAGGCCGGGGTCTCCATGTTTCAATGGGAACAATTTCAGCACTACATTGAATGTGAGTGGATAGGCAATGCATAGAAAAAACAGGTAATATTCATTCATTTCACAGGATTGAATTTATTAATCGAGACATGAATATGGTGAGTCATTAAACAGAGCATCACATCCACAGCATAAGATAACGCTGATTTGATGCGATGACCTTCCCAGAGAAGGCGGTGAGGGGACTCAAGATGCCCGTTCATCTGTGTATCCCTAAAGTACCTCAGACTACTGTCGTGCAGTGAAAATGAGACTCAAAGAAACGTTCGCGTAGCAAGCCTTATGCATTTGACTTCTTAGAGTTCGCTCACTTTCTGGATATGACAGTTGCCTGTGGCACGTTTGTTGCACTTATCTTCTGCATGTTTCTGATGTCACAGGCTATGAATTGATATATGCTGCACCATCCTACTAGAACAAATTGACCTTGGCCTTACAGTGCTTGGAGACGTGCCTCTATCGCAACATCCTTGAGCTTGCCAATGTGACGTGCTGGCCCTACTGGCTGCCGACCCTGGCTGACTTTCGCCCGAGACCCTGTGGCACAGAACAGGAATATCAAAGGATTTGGCTCGTGTCTGGGAAGCTACTCGAATCGGACATTGCTCAGAATGATCTCATCGACGTACAGGAATCAGAATCTGCTGTTTATCCTAGAGAACTTAACTACAGGGTGTCTCAAAAAGTTTAAAGCCACAAGACATTCTTTTTCCTGCCGTATTCTAACTCAAAATGAAAATTTCTTCAAGCAGCTGAAAGCTCAGGGAAAGATTAACCTATCTTTCCCTGAAGGTTGAATAAAATATAACTAATTCGGAAGAAATACATTTAAAATCAAAAGGAACCCTGCTAAAATTTACTGACGCTAGTTCGCAAAAGCCTTTCCGATGATTCAAAATGCAAGCAATCAAATACGCTAGTAATCTATGCTTCCTGATGAATTTAGAAAGACTGCATTGTGATGCAGGTTGTTGCGCTTTATTAGGAATGTATTAAAAATGTTGCATTGAACGCAGGAAGGACTTTCTAACCTGGGTCAACGCGCATAGGAATTCCAATCGAACATATGGGGGCATGCATACAGTACTTTTACTCACGAGCTGGTTTCAATGAGCAATTATGCCATTCTCGGCGCAAGTCCTGTCCCGTTCGCTAAGACAACCATAGGGGGACGCCATAACACCGAAGTCAATCTCTAAAAAGTTACAAACCAGTGTCAAGCCTGGAATCGTAAAGGAGTACATCTTCAACATTACTTTCTGTGAAGAGTGACAGTGAAAGTGAAGAAATTGGTGTAAGCAAATTTTCACTCTCTTTCATATCGTGATTCAGAAATAATCCATTTTCTTAGCCTTTTGTCTGTTAAACTGCAACGGTAATCTTTTTGAAGTTCGAGGTAGAACACAAAAAATTAAATCTTGAAGTTTTAATTCTTTCAGACACCCTGTATGACAGAAAAAAGTCGAGACGTCCGCCATATCGAACAAATCAGTCCCAAGTTTCTTGTCTCTATAAAGGATGGTGACGACAAGCTGCCTCGGCCAGAGGAGATCCTGCAGAAGGAGTGCAAATACTGCGGTCGTGCATGCCACAGGAAAGATTACGTCCCGGTTGCGAGAAACGGTGCCACCATTTCGTCAGGGGGAGCATTCGTCAACATAATCCTCGACCCTGACTTTCAATATCACATAGAGATTTGGGCCTATGAATTCCCGCAATTCATCTCTGATTTTGGTCAGTCCATAGTCATCACATTGCATCTCATCGTATAACATCACTGCATTTTCTCATGGTATTTTCTCGAATTAATATCCAGGTGGGATTCTGGGTTTCATGATGAATGCATCCATTCTTACCGTGATCGTGTTCCTGGATCATATGCTCTCAAGGATGTCACGGATCGCTTCGACATCCATCGGTTCTTGGGTGTCAACTCGATCAAACGCCGTCTCGGAGATACACCTCACACAATAACCAAATTTCAGTTCATGAAAAGTTCTGATCATATGCTCTCAAGGATGTCACGGATCGCTTCGACATCCATCGGTTCTTGGGTGTCAACTCGATCAAACGCCGTCTCGGAGATACACCTCACACAATAACCAAATTTCAGTTCATGAAAAGTTCATTTTTCATCATGAAGGTTGTCCCATCTGAGTTCCAGCATTCACGTCGAGTTAGGAATTTCCATATTTTCAAGTTGTGAAACTTTGTGCAATCTGTAAATCCATGTGATGCCAGCGTGTTTTTTTTTGCCCGAAGAGCGAGCAAACTTGCAATGGTCTCGCCTTCGGCTCTCCACTATCCAGTAAAATAATTATTTAATTTGAAAGATCTGTTTTCGACACGCACACCTACCAGTCAAAATACTATTTGCGTTAAAGGTTTTTTTTTCCATTGTGACGTCAAGTTACTTCTGCTCATGTTACCCCACTGGAGCCTGTTAGCTACAATAAACAAACGAGATTCTTATTTCCCCTCGAAAAAAGTCCTTTTGTTATTTTTCCTTTATACAGTGCCTATTATAATAAGAATCATTTTCCTCAATGAAATATTTTGAACTTACCCATTCCCTCACACCAAAAAGTGTCTCTCGGATGCAGTACCCAAATCGTACGATCTATTCTGAACTCAATATTCCGAAAACTACATTTGCCAAAATTCATATTTCTACGTAATCCGTTTCACTACAACGAAAATACATCGGTCAAACAGTCCTGCAAAAGAAATATGTCCCCAGGGGATGTACCCCAAATGTGGAATGTTTCATCAAATGATCGGCCTAATAAAACTTCTGTACCATGTTTCAGCTTTCTACAGCTGCCCAAATCGGTGGAATTAAGAAATGTTTATTGGAAAAGTCCCTCATAAAAAATTTGAATCCGAAGGGGATGGACCTCAAAAGTAAAGGTTTTCCTTGAAATCAAATTTCCTAAAACTAAATGTTTACGGAATTTCAGATTTTTTTCATCTGACTGTTCACGGGGACAAAAAAAAAGCTTTTTAAGAAACGTTTCCCCAAAAAAGTATGTACCCAGCAGTGGCGGCTCGTGATATTTAGCGCTAGTGCTTTGTCTATGGAGAGGGGTAGGCAGGGAAGGGCAATTGCCTCCATAGACGAGCCGCTAACGCTAAATATCACGAGCCGCCACTGACAACCAGTGAATTCTATTCACTGGTGTATTCTAAAAGTATGACTTTTTCCTTAAATCTACATCTCAACAGGTTCCCATGTATCAAGTTTCAGCTGTCGATGTCTCTCTGTTTCGTTGGAATAAATTTTTTAAATTGAAATATGTATTCCCTCCAAGATATCGTGCGCTGAGAGGATGTACCTCAAAAATTGAAAGTACAGCCTCTCTCCCATTTGCGTCGGGGATGCGTTCCTAGAAACGGCGACTTATATCAAAACGACGTAAATGGTAAGTGTTTTTCCCATAGACTTTGTGTTATAATGGGGGATGCGTCCCCCGGGGTTAAATTTTCGGACTCGCTAACCTAACTTAAGCCTCATTTAACTAAATATTAGAGACAAAAATTAAACAGATGGTTAAGGGTAGAGTAAAGATTTCTGCAAAAAAAAATGATAAAGAATATCGCTCGATGCTGACTGCACGGGCCGACGCGAGAGACTGAGGCAGCGTTGCCGCTCCGTTGGGGTACCATGCGGTCGACGTTGCCGTCGTTTCGAGTCGCGCTGACGGGCCGACGTTTTTGCCGCTCGACTCAAAATGACGTTATATCGGACAGAAGCGACGTTAAACGAAGTTGTTCCCCTATTAGTTGACGACGTTATAGTGAAACAACGCAAATCGGAACGACGTAAATAGGAGAATGCCTGTATACTAAAATCGGTAATCCAATCACTACATGCTTAATAAATTACAGCTTATTGCATATTTACATATTGTACATATTTACCCATTTCGCTGGCGTGAAAATGTATTTGGGAAAAAAATCCCGTCCAAAAAAGTGCGTCTTGAAGGTATATATGTCGTAGGGTTTTGTGGAATTCAGGGGGATTTCGAATCTCCCTAGGGAGAGACAGGATTCCAATAAACCCGCGGGTTTAGCGGAATCCTCTCCAGGTCGTGTTAATGTCACTACACCCTAGGGAGATTCCCTATCTCCCTGGATTGAAAATTGCCCTTCCCACGGCTTGTCCCGCCGAGGGCAATTCTCCTTTCGTTTGCGTTGACGGATTATTTAAGGCTGAAGAATACCGTGTTATAGCTATTAGTGAGAATACCGCGTCTGATTCTGCCTGCCACTAACGAAGAAAGAGAAGCTTGGAAGACAGTGGCTGCGTCAACGTAGGCGAAGGCTTTGAGGGCAGAAACAAGCTACGCCAGTGGGGGTGCAGGATTCATCGGCAAGTGCAAGAAGTCTTGTCGCACCAACAGGTGCAGTTGTAAAAAAAACTAGGCACAGCATGCGCATCCAAGTGTCACGGGGGAAAACTGGGCAACCTCCCAAAATAAGACAAGTATATTGTTAATTGACTCCGCTTCGAATCTTATTGGCGTTGATTTTTTTTCTTTCTATACATGGACTGAAATGAAATTCCATTTGCCCCGGGTGTCTTGATAATTCTCTTTCTCCCTAGGGGTAAACAAAATGATGGAAACATTGGCAGCTAATCCGGGTGATTTGGAATTCCCCTAGGGGGAGGTGACATAATGGAGGTTTTCGATTCCGCTAAACCCGCTGGTTTAGCGGAATCCTGTCTCTCCCTAGGGAAATTCGAAATCCCCCTGAATTCCACAAAACCCTACGACATATACATAACGAATGGGAACTTTTGCAAACTCAACACCATAACAGTTATTTGTTCGCCAATATTCACCTTCATTTCACCTTTCTATGTCATCCCGATACTGTTGCCTCAAAAAAAAATTATTGAAAACTTCCATCTCTCCCCCCCGAAAAAAGAATGCCTGCAGGGAATAGATTTTAAAATTTAGATTTTTCTCGAATTTAGCATCTCAACAGGTTCTTAAACTATCTCGGCGACCTTTATCTGGGACTACTAGCAGGGAATCTTGAAAGCTTGGATGACGGGATGAGGACGATGTATCAAGTAACTTGGCGTAGAATTTAAAGTCCTGTCGCTGTAGTGGTTTATATCCTCATAAACTAGGATAGTTTAGATCCTCATAAAAGTGCCATGGCTTTAAAAGAGTTGGTGCCGCTCACATTGCCGATACAGAAATGCCCGAAATTCTAAATGATAATGAGGATTTACCGAATTTGAAAACATCGAATATTCATGAGGCCGAGAAAATTTCAATTGTATGAGAATACCGAATGATGAGCAAATGATCATTTATGAGCTGGTCGTCCACCTTAGTTTCAATTTTCATCCGCAATTTGGTCCTCATTCGAGTTCTGGTCACAAACATCATTAGTCACTCCCGAACCTGCATGATGCTTCACACAACATATTGTCATAACCCTTCAAAATTATTGGGACACAAAGAACATAAAAAACTTGTCAGTGCATACTATCAATAATATTATTCCAACCCTCAGTTGAGCATTCGGCGATTGTCTTTCAAGCTTAAAACAGAATTGGTGCTTCATTTCATTGAGCACCACCAAATTTCCTTCAGCGACATCGATCACAGGCATTCTGCAGTCACCTATGATACCTATGATGCCGTTAATCCTTCGAAAATTTATCGGGAAGTTTCGAAGCATTCCATTAAATATTAGAGAATAAACCAATTTGTTGGTTCACTCTGGAGTTCCTTCATGAGCTTCTGTGGGTGTTTTCTTCCCAGTATGATACCCACGTATAACGACTGAAAAGTGGGGGAGATGGAATCCCAGAATACTTTTGCGGCAGTTGAAACCTTTCCTTTTTTCGCTCCCATCCTCCCAGCCAATGACGGGAGACTTTGGATAAAAAAAACTTGACCATCCCGTCAACCTTCATTGGGGAACGGCGGGCAAGGAAAACTTGAAAGCCTCGACTACATGATGGGAACAACGTATCAAGTCCTAAAATAAATTTTAAAAATAATTAAGGTAGTTTGCTCCCAACAATCCTGGATAAAATAAGTTATTGCACACTTATGAAGATATGTGTGCCCATGTCACACATGAAGAATAATGTCTTATGAAGTAATGTGAAAACCAACTTCAACCCCACTCCTACCCTTCCCTACGGGACTCACTAACGTTAGACCAAGGCCTAACCAACAGACAGTCTTAAGGTTGGTCAAGCCCTACCTTTTTTCTTTTCAAAGTTAATTCTCGGCTTACCGGGCCAATTAGCCCTATAAGGGTGAATCCGTGATCTTCGAGGCATCTCATTAAGGACGTGTAACGTTAGACCAATCGCCGCAGGTCTATTCATACTTTCAAGAACCATTTCAGAGAGGACATGTAAAGTTTGACCGTTTTGAGACCTGTTTCGCGTTTCATGAACCATTTCAGTGGGACGTGGAACGTTAGGCCTATCCGGAGTTCCTCGAACCATCTCAAATAGGTCCGATTTCAAGCCTTCAGAAAGCATAAAATCTCTGGTTTGCGCCATCCTGTTAATTCAGGGATGTCCGGATAAGATATCTCCATATCCTATCATATCTAATAATCACTGCTAACCACCGCTTCATTCTCAGCTTGTCTCATGAACTCAGCACAAAAATGTCTCATACATTAAAAAACAGAAGTTTCAGACGCCAATACGAAGGTTGAAGTAGTCTTGAATCTGGCATAATTTCGGTACTACATCCGGCAACACTGGGAAACGGGACAGAAGCCAGCA